GCCCAGGCTGGCGTGCAGTGGCACAGTTGTGGCTCACTGCAGCCTCAACCTCCTGGACTCAAGCAATCCTCCCACCTCAGCCTCCTGAGTAGCTGGGACTATAGGTGCATGCCACCATGCCCTGCTAATTTTTTAATCTTTTTGATAGAGACTGGTTCTCACTGTGTTGCCCAGGCTGGGCTCAAACTTCTGGGCTCAAGTGATACTTCTGCCTCCGCCTCCCAAAGTGCTGGGATTATAGGTGTGAGCCACTACTACTATTGACTGGAAGGTTTATCAATAATATAAACAGTACATATGTTGTGTGTTGTATGGAATATGTTTTATACTGTATTCCTACAATAAAGTAAGCTAGAGAAAATATTAAGAAAATCATAAGGAAGAGAAAATATATTTCGTGTTCTTTAAGTGGAAGTAGAGCACCATAGGGCTCTTCATCCTCACCATTCTCTTCACGTTTGAGTGGGCTGAGGAGGAGGAAGCGGAGGGGTTGGTTTTGCTGTCTCAGGGGGCAGAGGAGCAAGACAGTCTGCATATAATTGGACCAGCACAGTTTAAATCTCTGTTGTTCAAGGTTCAGTTGTATTCTTTAAAAGCAGAAATGACCCTCAGGACCAACGTGCCTGAGAGAGATTTTGTTAGGTTTACCTCCCCTGTTCATTCAGATATTTTTCAGCAGATATTGTAGACTCAGATTCTTTCATTGACTTGGTTTTATAACAAAAAAAGTATTGTTTTTATTTTTTCACTGAGGTTTGGAGATGTATTCGCATTTCATTCTGCTAGAGTGAGTGATAGCAGTTCTTGTTTCATACAGTATCTTTCAGTCTGTTTTATTGTTAGTTTCCATAGCTAAGTAATAAAGTTATGTTTTGGGGTTGGCGAAAATGAGACCAGTTTTGTTAGGGGTATCCTAATGAATTTGTCAACTTAGCAAGGGACTGAATAGGCAGATTTGTAAACTACCCATGAGATGTCAGTGTGGAGCCTACCTTAAGATACAGCAAGTCAACACTAAATAAGTTGCTTATGTAAACTTTGTAACTAGCTTTTAAACAATGTTTTTTAAGTTTATTTTTAAAGTGTTTGATTTGGAGATATTAGACAGTAGGACTGCATGATCCTGAGATGTATAGATTAACAGTAAGATACAGAATTTATCAGTCATGGAAGAGGGTTGCAAACTCAGATGAACTCAGGGTATAGAGGAATGAGTGAAATGAGTGAGCAGCCAGGACACGGAGGCATTTGGAAGTGAAGAGCGGGGAGAAGTGCCGGGAGGTGCGTGCTTCTCTGGCGGGACGGTGCTGCCCAGCCCCAGCTTGTTGCCATACAGGGATACAAGCCTGCCGATGCCGTAGCTTTTGATACTGTTTTGAAGAAAGCCATAAAACAGAATTTTCTTGAAAGATCTAATTTAAAAACACCGCACGGATCAAGCAAAACACACTTGGAAGTGAGATAGAGTCGTTGGGCTGCCAGTCTGTGATCTTTGGCAGAGGTCTTGTATGTCGTAGGGA